GGGAAGGGAGATAACCAGCCACTATATTAACCTACACAGTTAGCTTGCCCATCGCCAGCTCGGTGTATATGCACCTGTACATTTAGATTCAACCTGTTATCAGCTTAATGTGTTTGTTTTTGCTGCTAGCTAAAGACAGCTGGCTCGTATCTTATCTCAACCTGTTTATAAAACGCTAGCGTTAATCGACATACAAAAATAAAAAATGAGGCATTAATTTTCTGGAAATGTAATCAAACAATGCTTTCGCTGTCTTAACCCTAACCCTGTAAATCACCCATGCATTTCCCTTTCTTTATTCTGTACCCATCACATATGCCTTAATAAAAGAAAGAATATAAAAAAAACAAAAAACATTTACTTTGCTCCAATCTGTCCTGCCGCACAATACTTCCCAACACATTCACACACTGTACCCCTCCCCCCACACACACAGCAACCGTACACATCCTATATACACACACACTACATTCCAGACAAGCACACACTACACCACTTATACACACACTAGATCCTCTACACACACTACATTCCCTATACACACACACACACCCAGCACACAATAGATCCCCTATAGATAAACACTGCCTACACACTACATTTCTGACATACACACTCTGGATCCCCTATTCACACTAGATCCCCTGTACGTAAATACACACTACATTCCCTAAACATACACTGTGTACTGCCCAGGGCCGGACTGGGGATTCCAAAGCAGCCCTGAAAAAAAAATCTATGCCAGCCCCATAAGTCATTGCGCCATATATTGTCGCATGTAATATGTAAGGCTATGTCTTGCCACCCTAGATGATTGATATATATATATATATATATATATATATATATATATATATACATATACACTATATATATATATATATATATATACATATATATATATATATATATATATATATATACAGAATTACCAAGGGTATTAGGCAAAATGAGTATTTTGACCACATCATCCTCTTTATGCATATTTGTCTTGCCTCCAAGCTGTATAGGCTCGAAGCCCACTACTACCAATTAAGCATATTAGGTGATGTGCATCTCTGCTTAATGAGAAAGGGTGAAGGTCTAATGACATCAACACCCTATATCAGGTGTGCATAATTAGGCAACTTCCTTTCCTTTGGCAAAATGGGTCAAAAGAAGGACTTGACAGGCTCAGAAAAGTCAAAAATAGTGAGATATCTTGCAGAGGGATGCAGCACTCTTAAAATTGCAAAAGCTTCTGAAGCGTGATCATCGAACAATCAAGCGTTTCATTCAAAATAGTCAACAGGGTCGCAAGAAGCATGTGGAAAAACCAAGGCGCAAAATAACTGCCCATGAACTGAGAAAAGTCAAGCGTGCAGCTGCCACCATGCCACTTGCCACCAGTTTGGCCATATTTCAGAGCTGCAACATCACTGGAGTGCCCAAAAGCACAAAGTGTGCAATACTCAGAGACATGGCCAAGGTAAGAAAGGCTGAAAGACGACCACCACTGAACAAGACACACACAAGCTGAAACGTCAAGACTGGGCCAAGAAATATCTCAAGACTGATTTTTCTAAGGTTTTATGGACTGATGAAATGAGAGTGAGTCTTGATGGGCCAGATGGATGGGCCCGTGGCTGGATTGGTAAAGGGCAGAGAGCTCCAGTCCGACTCAGATGCCAGCAAGGTGGATGTGGAGTACTGGTTTGGGCTGGTATCATCAAAGATGAGCTTGTGGGGCCCTTTCGGGTTGAGGATGGAGTCAAGCTCAACTCCCAGTCCTACTGCCAGTTCCTGGAAGACACCTTCTTCAAGCAGTGGTACAGGAAGAAGTCTGCATCCTTCAAGAAAAACATGATTTTCATGCAGGACAATGCTCCATCACACTCGTCCAAGTACTCCACAGCGTGGCTGGCAAGAAAGGGTATAAAAGAAGAAAATCTAATGACATGGCCTCCTTGTTCACCTGATCTGAACCCCATTGAGAACCTGTGGTCCATCATCAAATGTGAGATTTACAAGGAGGGAAAACAGTACACCCTCTCTGAACAGTGTCTGGGAGGCTGTGGTTGCTGCTGCACGCAATGTTGATGGTGAACAGATCAAAACACTGACAGAATCCATGGATGGCAGGCTTTTGAGTGTCCTTGCAAAGAAAGGTGGCTATATTGGTCACTGATTTGTTTTTGTTTTGTTTTTGAATGTCAGAAATGTATATTTGTGAATGTTGAGATGTTATATTGGTTTCACTGGTAATAATAAATAATTGAAATGGGTATATATTTGTTTTTTGTTAAGTTGCCTAATAATTATGCACAGTAATAGTCACCTGCACACACAGATATCCCCCTAACATAGCTAAAACTAAAAACAAACTAAAAACTACTTCCAAAAATATTCAGCTTTGATATTAATGAGTTTTTTGGGTTCATTGAGAACATGGTTGTTGTTCAATAATAAAATTAATCCTCAAAAATACAACTTGCCTAATAATTCTGCACTCCCTGTAATTATAAAAATCACAGAATTTCATAGCCCCATGTTTTACCCTCGACTTATCCACGAGGCATAGCATATTTCACAATTGTTGGTCACAAAACTGCACTCGACTTATACATGAGATCGACTTATACACGAGTATATACGGTAAACCTTGCATTTAAGCTTTAGATACAGTGCAATTCACTGATCAGTGGTCAAACTTCTAATTTTTTTCACATTGCAAAAAATGTCTTAAAATTGTGTATCTCCCATTAATAATATAAGAATTTATGTGGCAATACTGAGTTACTAGTGGATTTCGCAGAAATGTAGGAAATTTCAGCATCACCACTATTAAATAATGCATGTTCTGCGTTGTGTCCTAATTTCTGGTTTTGTCTGTAACGTACACAGTCTGTTACGCAGTCCCTCAATATGCCAGTCTCTGTGCTGCGGCACTGCCTCCCTGGCTGAGATCATCAATCTTGATGAACTCAGCCTTCCCATAGGGAGGAGAGTGTGCATGCGCAGCAAATTGCCACACCAATCAAATGAGCGCCAGGAGCAGCATTTGATTGTGAACTGAGTCTGACTTGGTTCTTAAAGGACAAGAGCCTCTTCTGATTTTTGTCAAATTGTGTGCCTCTCAGACCCCAAAGTCCAGCCCCCTCTGTGATAGGCTGTGAGCTGAATCTGATTTGCTAATGATTATAAATTAGTTATTTATTGATTACAAATACTTGATGTAAAAAAAAAAAAAAATATATATATATATATATATATATAAAAATAAATAAATTTATTTAGTGGTTTCCAGTTTTGATTTTTTTCATTAAAGCACTTCCCTACAATTAAAGTGTTTTTTTTGTGTTTTTTTTACAATAATAAATCCATAATTAAACAAGGAACAAGGGTGCCAAATCACTGCTAAATAAATTTTGATAAATAAGGAGATTTTTTTAATTTTATTTTTTAAGAAAAACCTGTTCACCACGCTTATCTACTAAGACTTTGAAGTGTAAATAAAAAAATTTAAAAAAATCTAATTGGAAAATTCAGTGGTCGGCAAACCTAATACAGACAAGGTGAATTACAGATTGAACCAAAAAGATAGCAGATAGATTCAACAAAGCACATTATCCTATCAGGCTGTCCACATCTATCTCCTCCAGTCCTGCAATGGGTGTCTCTCTCTCTGGATAAACAGATGGCCACTTTCGATAAGAGCTAGGCACACTGCATTCAAGCATCTCTCAGCAATGGTCAACATCACACCTAACTAAAAATGTATTACATGGGTAAAATGCTTGGTAAGGTTAAATATTATATCATCCTGAATTCTTAAAAAAGGACCAATTGAATATTGAGAAGAGTGAAACCATCCACAACAAGACTATTAGATCAGCAGAATGGGAATCTACATTGGTCTTCTGACAATAGCCAATATTAAGATAATTTAGTTCTGGATTTTTAATTATTCCTAAATTTTCATTGCCCCATCAAGGTTGGGTTTCACAAAATTCAGAGACAAAGAGGGCGCATGAGTTACACATATCAATAGTTTTGAAAACCGTTTAGAGAATCAAATAGTCCGGCAAGGCACGTTCACAGCTGATCACAAATGCCCAGTACAGCTACATGGGCTGGAAGGTGGAGGAGGGAGCAACTGGGACAATATTAGCCGCATTATTATTCTAGAGAAGCAATGTCTATTCGTTCCCTTCCAGTAGTTGTTAGACCACCAGACACTGACTAGGCAATACTGGGCTAAAGCGTAAACCCAGGCCCAGGTAATAGGTTAATTATACAGATAAAAAAATAAACAGCATCTTAAAGGCTTTATAAAATCTCTGGTAACTGATACAGAATTAATCTTCAATACTGCAATGAGAATATTAACATGAATAGCAGTATATTTATTAAAGAAAATACAATGTGCAAACCGTCAATATCATAAACCAAGAATACAAATATTTAAGGAAAGCTGAGGTTTACACATAAATCCTATAAATGCCATGTGCATTAACAAAGACTCTGGGTCCCAAATTCACATAAAATCTAATTATTTACCAAGCTCACCTACCTGCCAGCTGGCACCCACACACCCCAATCCACCAGCACCCCAAAACATGCCAAGTCCTGCAGCCAAATGTAAACATATGACATCATCGCCTGCCATCTGCCAGCATTCTACAATCACTATAATCACTGCTCCCCAACATATGGCACCAGATCTACAGGTAGGATATTAGGGTGCACTCCTGCAGGCAGGGTGTTGGGGTGCACTCCTGCAGGCAGGGTGTTGGGGTGCACTCCTGCAGGCAGGGTGTTGGGGTGCACTCCTGCAGGCAGGGTGTTGGGGTGCACTCCTGCAGGCAGGGTGTTGGGGTGCACTCCTGCAGGCAGGGTGTTGGGGTGCACTCCTGCTGGTAGGGTGTTGGGGTGCACTCCTGCAGGCAGGGTGTTGGGGTGCACTCCTGCAGGTAGGGTGTTGGGGTGCACTCCTACAGGCAGGGTGTTGGGGTGCACTCCTACAGGCAGGGTGTTGGGGGTACACACACACACACACACATTATAAATATATGATTTCTCTATTGATATATACAATAGATTTACATTATCAGTGACAACACACACACACACACATATATATATATATATATATATATATAAATATAATATGATTATACACAGAGATATATCACTATATGTTTATACAGATTGTTATATCATTATAATATAGATAATATTGATACACAGATGGCTATATTATTATACTATAGATAATATTGATACACAGATGGCTATATTATTATACTATAGATAATATCGATACACAGATTGTTATATCATTATAATATAGATAATATTGATACACAGATGGCTATATTATTATAATATAGATAATATCGATACACAGATTGCTATATTATTATACTATAGTGTGTATATATATAAATCCACCTGTCCCCCCTTGTGGTTACCTGGTCTGGCAGTGGCCCCCCGGGCTAGTAACACCCAGCAGTAGAGGATGGGCCCCAGTAGGACCCCCACTGGCCGCGGACCCCCCATCCTTCAGGCTGAGGAGGGGAGAGGCTGCATCGTGTCCCCGACCTGAGCCTCACTGACAGCAGCCGGCAGCGCGCACACAGACAGCCCCGAGAGCAGCCGGGAGCGCGCACATAGAGCGGGGAGCGCGCGCACAGAGCGAGAGAGAGAGAGACGCACACAGTGAGCGGGGAGCGCGCGCACAGAGCAGGAGGACCCGCCCACACACTGACAGATACCCTCCCTCCTCCCTCTCTCCACCCAGCCTGACTCTGAGATAACCTGTCCAAACCTGGCCCCTCTCACTGCAAACTGGCCCCCAGCCTGACTCTGAGATAACCTGTCCAAACCTGGCCCCTCTCACTGCAAACTGGCCCCCAGCCAGACTCTGAGATAACCTGTCCAAACCTGGCCCCCCTCACTGCAAACTGGCCCCCAGCCTGACTCTGAGATAACCTGTCCAAACCTGGCCCCTCTCACTGCAAACTGGCCCCCAGCCTGACTCTGAGATAACCTGTCCACACCTGGCCCCCCTCACTGCAAACTGGCCCCCAGCCTGACTCTGAGATAACCTGTCCAAACCTGCCCCCCCCTCACTGCAAACTGGCCTAGCCTGACCTGAGACAACCGTCCACCCCCCCTCACTGCAAACTGGCCCCCAGCCTGACTCAGAACCATGCATTAAACCTGGCCCCTCTCACTGCAAACTGGCCCCCAGCCTGACTCTGAGATAACCTGTCCAAACCTGGCCCCTCTCACTGCAAACTGGCCCCCAGCCTGGCTCTGAGATAACCTGTCCAAACCTGGCCCCTCTCACTGCAAACTGGCCCCCAGCCTGGCTCTGAGATAACCTGTCCAAACCTGGCCCCCCTCACTGCAAACTGGCCCCCAGCCTGACTCTGAGATAACCTGTCCAAACCTGGCCCCTCTCACTGCAAACTGGCCCCCAGCCAGACTCTGAGATAACCTGTCCAAACCTGGCCCCCCTCACTGCAAACTGGCCCCCAGCCTGACTCTGAGATAACCTGTCCAAACCACAGCCCCCCCCACCTCACTGCACCAAGCGGCCCCCAGTCTGGCTCACAGGGGCTAACCTGTCCAAACCTAGCCCCCCCTCACTGCAAACTGGCCCCAGTCTGACTCTGAGATAACCTGTCCAAACCCTGGCCCCCCCTCCTGCACAGAGCGGCCCCAGTCTGACTCTGATAACCTGTCCAAACCTAGCCCCCTCTCACTGCAAACTGGCCCCTGGCCAGCTCTGAGATAACCTGGCCCCCCCTCACTGCAAACTGGCCCCAGTCTGACTCTGGGGAATAACCTGTCCAAACCTACAGCCCCCTCACCCACCGAGCTGGCCCCCAGTCGACTCTGAAATAACCTGTCAAACACCAGCCCCCCTCACTGCAAACTGGCCCCAGCCTGATTCTGAGATAGCCTGGCCCCCTCACTGCAAAACTGGCCCTCAGCCCTGACCCTGCCACACCCAGCCTGACCCTGTATTACACCCAGCCTGACCCTGTATTACACCCAGCTTGGCCCTCTATTACACCCAGCCTGACCCTGTATTACACTCAGCCCGGCCCTCTATTACACTCAGCCCGGCCCTCTATTACACTCAGCCCGGCCCTCTATCACACCCAGCCCGACCCTGTATTACACCCAGCCCGACCCTGTATTACACCCAGCCCGACCCTGTATTACACCCAGCCCGACCCTGTATTACACCCAGCCCGACCCTGTATTACACTCAGCCCGACCCTGTATTACACTCAGCCTGACCCTGTATTACACCCAGTCTGACTCTGTATTACACCCAGCCTGACTCTGTCTCTCTATTACACCCAGCCTGACCCTGTATTACACCCAGCCTGACTCTCGTATACCTATTCTAACTCTGTATTACACCCAGCCTGACCCTGTATTACACCCAGCCTGACCCTGTATTACACCCAGTCTAACTCTGTATTATACCCAGGGCTGTCTGAACGCACGGGTACACTGGGCAGTTGACAGGGGTTTTCACAAGCATAGGGGCCCCTAGGCTTGCCAACCTTTAAATATATTATTCTAAATAATTTATTCTTATTAAAACATTTTGGTGGACTAATCACCTCAGTATCAGCCAGGGCCGGACTGGGGAAAAAATTCGGCCCGGGCATTTTTAATTACAGCAGCCCACTGAAAAGGGGGCGGGGCCAGATAGGGTGTGTTTTGTCATCCCCAATGACAAGCATGCCCCATCTCAAAGTGAGCATGTTGGTTCAATGCTCTTCCAGGGCATGAGAAAAGGGCCCTGTATTTGATCTGCACAGCGCAAGCAAATTTAATAACATGCTTGCATTGTGTTTGCTTGAAACTTGTCTCAGGGGTTTCCATAAATGGAATACTCACTGCAGTGGCGTACTAAGGGGGGGGCGGGGGGGGCGGTCCGCCCCGGGTGCCACCAGGGTGGGGGGTGCCATGACCAGCCCCCCCATGCTGCAGCCGCCCGAGCGCTCTGTATAGAGCCTCAGGCGGCTGCAGCTTTGCCCGGGCGGTGCGTCCATGAGGGCGGACCGCACCGCCCGGGCGCAGCCTGAGGAGAGGCTGACAGGAGG